GCAAAAAGAATCCCATCTTTCATCCTTGCCTTCACACAGAGTAAACAACACAAAGCTCCATTTATCTCTGCCCCTTCTTGAACTCAGATATATGGTTGAATGATCCAAGGGATTCAAAGTTTATGGCAGCCTCACTAAGCTTTCTCCTCCCAGTTTATTTGTGCTGTTCAGTTGCTTTGAGCACCAATATTTATAGCCAAGTGTTTTCATCCACCTGAAAGGTATGTCTATCCCATATATGCTCACTGCTTGCAACAATGGTGTTTGGTGTTAGCACTTCTTTTGATATCTGAGCAGTAAATCCATCAAGTTTTAACAATGACCCAAATAGTATTGCAGTGACTATGTCAAATGTTTGGTTTAGGAAAAACAAATCGTGGCTTAGGAAAACCAAATCACCTTATGTCCTATTTAGAATGTTAAAGCTACTCAAATGTTGTTCACACTTTATCAGTGGTTTTGAATTCAACTAGCTCTAAAAATGCTTTCTGCTTTCACAACCTCTTAGGCTAGGGACAGACCTTCAAAAAGCATTAGCCTGAATTGATTCAGTCTTTGCAGGTTAGTCTAACCTGGCTAGGCTGAATCACTTTGTAACTGCACAGACATCCCAGAAATGCAGGCACATGCCTGCAGTGGCTCAGGCTACAAGCTGGGGGGTGCTAGAGCAGCCTTCCCTTCCCTTCCACAGGACTGAGTTGAGGGGACTGTGTCAAGATTAGGGAAGGGATACCCCTCCTCCCCCGGCTAACAGAGCATTTATCAGCTCTGTTATCAGAATTTATCACCACATCAGAAAACAAACCGCCTCTCTCATTAGTTCAAACTTTTCTTAAACAAAGAAGGAAAGGAGGGACATTACCAGCTGAGCTTTGATTAGTTCCAAAAAGCCCTAAGCCGACACTGCTGTCTGCCACAGCATGGACTGTAGCCAGCGTGTGGTTTGCTAGTTAATGCTGAAGTGTCTGTGTAAGGCAGAGGGGGTGGGGATCCCTGCTTAGCAGGGAGTAGAGAGGGGAGGGGGAAAGCAGGAGGAAACCAGGCTCTGGTTGCAAGTCAGACTCTGCCTGCAAGTCTCTGCCAGAGCTTCAGCTAGGGAGCAGAGGGGAAGGGCCAGCCCTACTGTGCAGCAGAGAGCCCCGCCCAGCCCAGAAAGCATGCCGGGATGCTTAACTTAAACCAGCAAGGGGTCTGGGACAGACATTGCATAAACCAGTTTGACACAAATCAATTAAGTCTGATACTACATTCAACCAGGTTTATCTCAAACCAGTTTCACCCATTTTCAAACTGGTTTATGTGCACTAAACATCTGTTCTGTTACAGGTTTAAACCAGTTTCTGATCACTTAAGCTGGTTTATGTGTAATGCCTCTTCCTAGCCTTAGAGACATAGTAAAGAAACTTAAAGCAATTTCACAAGTCATGCAATAAAGCAGTGGGTATCCTTTCTTCCCTGCTGCAGCAGCAGAAACAATTTGCACACCTATCAAGTAACGGTGCAACCACCCTCAGAAGTGTGTTAAACAACTTTTAAAAAAAAAAAAATCTTTTCTGTCTTGTTATAGGTAGAAGTTGATGAGAATATGAGGAGACTAGTGAATTCTCTGCTTGGGTGGAATCCTGATCAGCTGATTAAAACCCTTGCTAAAGAGCTACAATTCCACTGAGTGATTCTAGTGATATCCTAAACTTAGGAAGTTAGCCTTGTATGACCTACATTGACTCATTAATGCAAGGTTAGGAAAACTTGTACCTGTTCTTTCTTGATGTAGATTAAGTACTAGGGTGGGATGAACTTACCAGAGAGCAGCAGACCATAAAAGAGGAAAAACTTAATTGAATCCTCATGCCTCAATCAAGGCATGAGGAGATTCAGCCTCACTATCTGTGCAACAGCACTGGAGCTTTGTCTCTAATGGAAAGGAAATGATGTGTCTAATTATCTTCTAATGCTGAACATACTGTATCTGCAAAAAGCGGGTGAATTACATCATCCAGCAAGGCATTTATGCAAGTTCAGGCACCATTTGTTATATTCTCCCCTAAAATGCAGAGGAGGGGGGCTCCTTTTTCACTATAAACATGGCAAGTGCAGAATAAGGCTGGATTTAGATGTTTGTTTCCAAAATTAAGCATCCTGTTCAGATGTTTAGACCGGATCAGTTAATGCATTGCTTCGTACTATTGTAATGGATTTAAAATTATTATCTAACACAGGATAAAACAAGCCTCATACCAAGAAGTATGGCTGCTCCTGTGAAATTTTCCATTTGAATATGTATTACTAGTCAAAGTAGCAAATATTAACAGACTTACTAAAAAGATTTGAGAGAGTAGGAAGAAGAATAGTTATTTTATTCCCTGTTATCAACTTTTGGCTATTAAGACTGTAAAGAACTACATAAACATAAACTCTCCCTATCAACAAAAATAAAACAATGCTGAAACTGGAAACATTACTAAATCACAGAGTTTGTCTTGAGATCCTTATAAGAGAGACCCACAGAAAAATTGATTATATGAGGCACTGTATTTGAAAACAGCTGTAATATTTGTTAATTAAAATGTTTCTAATATGAGGTAAGCGGAGGAAGTTTACCTAATGTTTCTTATAATTTAAATACCTGTAAAATGGAAGACCTTGTTAAATGCGTGCTTCTGTGTAGATGTTACAACACTGCAGCATTGATTTCAGAAGTCCATCCATGGCTTTGAGTTCTAGGAGACGGAATAACAGTGGAAATGTAACATGTGAAGAACTACATAAGCTGGTAACATAAGCTGGCACCAACAGCAGTGGAGTGGGACTGCTTACATGATAGTCATGCACATACATGCATAAGTTATGTGTATTGAGTATGGTTTTGTTAGCATATTCTCTACATGGTTGTGTTCTAATTGGAAAAAAGCAGTAGCTTTCAACCTTTTTTCATTTGCAGACCCCTAAAACAATTTGAATGGAATTGTGGGCCCCTTTGAATTGTAAGTGTGAGTAGTCACATACTTTTGATTGATCATAGTCTTCTCTCACAGACCCCTTAGATGTAGTCTGCAGAGCCCCAGGGGGTTCTGCAGTCCACTGATTGAAAACCATTGGAGTAAAGTTTTTTTTGAGTTTTGTCTTTAACGTTTTAGCATAATTTGGTCCTATATGAAAAAAATGGATCTACCTTCATTTTTTAACTTAACCTTTTCACAACAGAAGCACACTTCACAAGCTTGTTCCTACTCTGAGACCGTGGCCTTTGGTCCTTGCCCCTCCGTGGTTCTCTGTGGCTCTGACTCAGGGAGGTAGCATCCAACTCAAACCCTGAGAGAGAGCCCTCATCTTGGGGTGAACCAGTGCAGCCCACAGCTGTTCTCTTTCTAGTCTCTCCAGCTCCCCAAAGCTTCTCCATTTCTCTCAGTTCCCAGACTTTTCTGGGATAGCAGCTTTCAGGCATTTCTTCCAGCCTGCTCTCTCTTTTGTCATGTTTATCCCCTCTGGATACCTCCTGGGTGTCGACCATCTCACCTTTGTTGATAGGTCAACAAAACTATTCAAGACTTGATGCTAAATGTCCAACTGGTCTCAACCTGTAGGTAACCAGCATTGGCACTTATCCCCTCCTCTGTGTGCAGGCTAAGGAGGCAAACTGAGTTGCACAGTCTTATTATAACAACAGTGTGAACACAGGGCACTGACAGATGTGCAACTTCCTATTCTAATTCATGGCGCTTCACAGAAAGGGGGGAAGGGTGGAAACTGAGCTCCACTTTGGAGCCAATCCTGTGGAGGATCTGCCTGCCTGCAGCCCCTTTCCCCTAGTCTCAGCCCCTTCCCCTCCCCTCCCCTCCCTCCCCCAGCTCTGGTACCGTCTGCAGGAAGGGAGAGGGACTGGGGGAAAGGAAGGGAGCTGTGGGCTGGGGTTTGCTCAGCCTGAGCTGGACAGGGAGGGTGCTTGGGGGAGGCCATGAGGTGGGTGGGCTCCAATCCACCCACCCTGCCTCCAGCTCAAGCTGGGCAAACCACAGCCTGCAGATCCTTCCCCATGCCCCATCTTCCCTTTCTGCAGACAGCATAGGGGGTGGGGATGGGCTACATCAACCCAGCCTCAGTCATGCACAGAGATTGACAGAAGTTCCCTAAGGTGCTCCACTTTGGAGCACCTTCATCTGATACCTCATTAGATGAGAGTTAATTTGCTGTTCCATCAGCAGGGAACCTGGTTTTCTCTGGTTAAAAAAAATCCCCAATTTTCAGTTTAACACCCCCCCTTCCACATTTTTCTGTGATTAAAATGAAGCACCACTGTATTAGTGGTGCTTCATTTTAATCATGGTAAAATGTGGAATTTATTATTAGTTTTTTTTTAAATAGAAAATTAGGGTTGGGTTTTTTTTTTAAATCAGAGAAATCCAGGATCCCTGGTGATCAGCCACTCCTGAAGCAGTCTCCAACCATGTACGTGTTATGGCACAGCTGTAGAGCTCTTTCAGAGTGCTGATCACGTGACAAATGTCACTTCTGTCAGTGCCCACAGTTAACTCAGAAATACCACAGTAAAGCATATAGTCTGTCACACCATAATGGCAGCCTCACATGCCAGCTTGTTATATTTTCAAATATGCACTTTTGTGCTTTATCTCATGCTGCCTGTAAAAGTCCACAACACTACTTCATTATTATACTTCCAACTTCTCATTTAAACTTTCCTTAATTACTACAAAAAAACTTTACAGTGGTTAGACTACTGAAAGGCAAACACCACAGCCTACCATGCTGTCTCACAGGCTAGTTGTTTCTTTTTCTTATATTTTTTCTCTCTCTTCTTAAGCTTCAGTTGTGTGTGTTTGTACAACACCCAACACAATGGTATTGTGGTCTATGATTTCGAGGTTCTGCATTAATGAAAAATAATAATAGAATAAGTAAAAAAGTGCTCATAGAATTGACAGTCATTTTCAGGAAAGTTCTATTTTTTTAGTAACGTGGCATTTCCCTTCGTATCTTTATAGAGACATCAGCAAGAATCAAATATCTGACATTGCTCCTGATGCATTCAAAGGCTTGAAATCTCTCAACTCATTGTAAGTAGAGGGTAAAGGTAAATGGGGAATTTGGGGAGCTTCCTAGGGAAGTAAATGATGATGATGATGATGACAGTAATAAAACAATAGTAGGTGATTTGGTTTTGCACAGTTGTCAGCTTGTGTGAACAACTTAATCTTTCATAAATAAAAATTTGATTGTGCAGAATAAAAGGAGGAACTGTTCATAGAACTCTAAGCTCCTTTACAGAATGGCACTCTGAAGACTGCTTATTTGAGTTTCTCTTCAAACAAATGCTGTATATCTATCTTGTATGTGGATATGAAAGCTTTTCCCCCCAAACTCATCTCAGACCCAAAAGAACATGCTATGTCTCAAAGCATTTGTGGTGCTCTAATAAAGCCCAACCCCTCCCCACCCTGCCAAAAAAACGCCTAAAAAACAAAACCCTTATGACAGAGATCTCTTCCATTTTCTCAGTAGAATTAAGATTGTATTTTCTCTGAAAATTGCATGTGGAAAAACTTCATCAGTTAAGAAAATGTTCATATTTAGCTGTAATTACTGCTTTTGTTGAATGGGTAGGTGGATTAAAATACTACTTAATACAGAAACAGAAGGGGAAGGCAGGATTTCTTGACAACCATAATTTTTCTTTCTTTAAACACAAAAGCTGTTCATAGTATCAGGCTGAATATGAATACTGCAGTATTTCAGCCCAGCTCACAGGACTATTAGAACCATGAAGCTTGTAATGGCTAAAAAGAGGCAATACAAGGTCAGAAGCTGAATACAGAAAATAAAGCAAAAACAGTGTGTTGGGAAGAGGTCCAAATACGAAGAGGAGTTTGAACTTGACTGGAATAGCATTTACCTGAGTTAATTTGAAATATGGTTTTAAACCCATTTAGATCCACTTGGTTTAGAGACAATTAGCCCAGCCATTATGGACTTGGCTTAAACCCAGCTTGTTTATATACTTTTAAATGCTGCCATCACTTAATTTTCATGTGTTGAACAATATTAGTAAATAACCTACTTAATTTGTTGACCAATGGCAATATTGGAAGATTCAACAGCATTTTACTATATATTGTACTATTCCCCTTAGGCAAAATGCTGAAAGATGGGCCTTAGCTGGTATCCTGAATACAGCTGGTAGAATGCCAAAAATCTATATGAACTATTGCTAATGTTTGTTGAATAGTTTTGGGTATTATTATTCATCCTGCTAGGGAGCTGGTCAAATCCCACAACACTTTTTGCAAATGATTCAGTGAAAGAGTGACATTCAGTGAACACTAATTTTGGCACAATATGAGACTACCACTACTCCTGCAGCTCCACAGGCTTGTGCTCTGGGCAAACAGAAGCATGTTTCAGAGCCAAGGCACCTCCACTGAGGTTGCCATGCACAGCTCAAATACATTCAGATTTGATAAAAATAACATGAACAGCCCAAGTTGGCCTCAGATGGTGCGACAGCACAGTGGGAGACAGGCAGGAAGCCAGAATTTAAACCAGAAGGATCACATGTTAACTTGGACCTAGAAGTAAATGAGGTGAATGTGTATACTGGGGGCCGTTATCCAACAATCTGCTCCAACTACGTAAGCCTGAACTGGTTGAAAACTGGTTCAAACCAGTTCAGGTAAAATGTCACCTAAGGTAGAAGTAGCACATAAAGATCCTAGGGGTATAAGATCATAGGAAAGTAGATCTGGCAGGGAGCTCATGAGGTCATCTAATCCAGCTCTCTGCAGTATTGTCCCAGACTAAAAACCATCCCTGTCAAGTGTCTGTCTAACCCACTTTTCAAAGTTTCCAAGGATGGAGATTCAATAACTTCTCTAAGTAGTCTCTTCTAATGCCTGACCACCCTTGTAGTCAGAAAGTTCCTCCTAATCTCCAGCCTAAGCTTCCTTTGCAGCCACAGAGAACAGCTCGTCTCCATCCTCTCTGAAATCACCCTTCAGGTGTATGATGAGTGTCATCAAATCCCTGTTCAGTCTTCTCTTTTCCAGGTTAAATAACCCTAGTTCTTTCAGCCTTTCTTCATAAGTCATGTTTCCAGGCCCCTGATATTTTTGTTGACCTGCATTAGACTTTCTAAACTGTCCAAATCCATCCTGAAGTGTGTGGCCCAAAAGTGAACATACCATGCCAAGTGAGGCCTCACCAGTGCAGAGTAGAGCAAAATAATCACTTTCCTTGATTTGCAAGTGATACAACCCAGGAAACTCCATTGAGGTTGAAGATTAATTTTAGTCTTTTTTTTTTT